ATCTTACAGAGAAGAATGAACCGTATAAGGCAATCTAATTTAATAATAATTACTCTAATAAACTAATCTAATAATAGTCAAGGAGATCATAGGCGGAGTTTAACATTTTTACCTGAGGGGGGACCACGAGCTCCGATTTAAAAAAAAAAAATTTACATACCGTATATACCATATTTTCTACATTTCAATTATTTGTAGCCTATATAATTTCTTCTTCATTTAATCTAGTGGTTGACCAATATGGGTTTTTAATACTGATATCTTACAGAGAAGAATGAACCGTATAAGGCAATCTAATTTAATAATAATTACTCTAATAAACTAATCTAATAATAGTCAAGGAGATCATAGGCGGAGTTTAACATTTTTACCTGAGGGGGGACCACGAGCTCCGATTTTTAAAAAAAAAAATTACATACCGTATATACCATATTTTCTACATTTCAATTATTTGTAGCCTATATAATTTCTTCTTCATTTCAAATACATTTACAATTAACAATGACTGGTAGGCTATACAAAGAGTGGAATAAAAACGTATATCTTACCTAATGTAGAAGAATCCGCCTCTTTTGCTGTGTCATAATAAATATTGTAAGTGTCAGAGTTAGAGACCTCCACTCTTTTAGTTGTGGGTTTATTTAAAAAACAACAAATATCCATTTTGTTTATTTAGCATATCTCTGCAGACTAAAGCGGGAACAGAGCGAGAAGGGAGTCCAAGCGAGTCGCGAGAGTATAGAGCTTCTTTTTAAAAACTTTAATTAAAAATAATTTAGCCTTAACTTACTCATTAAAATAATAAGATTATAAAAATAAAATGAGAAAATGTGAACATATTTGTTTTATTAATAGCTCTGGCAAAATCAATCCAAACTCCGCCTATGAAGGAGATTATAGAAATAAAAAAGAAAACTTGAAATGAAAAGACAATAATAAAAAAATGTATACTTTCAGCTTTGTATAACAAAAATAAATGATATTTTTAAGTATATTAAAATAGAAAAGCGTTATTTTAAATTGCAATAATATTTCACAATATTAGTGTTTTCTTTCTGCAAATAAATGCAGCCTTAGTAAGCAGAAGAGACTTTACATTAAAAAAATATTAAAAATCTTACTGATCCCAAACTTTTCAGAGGCAGTGTATACAAACACCCACATGTATATATTAATATATGCATAATTATGTAATGTATAAATATATATATAATAGTGCTGTCAAACGATTAATCGCATCCAAAATAAGGTTTTTTTTACATGTGTGTGTATTGCGTATATTTATTATGTATATATATATAAATAAACACACATACAGCATATATTTTGTAAATATTTACATGTATTTAAATGTATATATTTACATTCATATAATTTATATCATATATAAAGATACTTAATATATAAACGTAACATATTTTTCTTAAATACATACATGCAAGTGTGTGTATTTACATAATAAATATACACAACACACACACATATATTAGGTAAACAAAAACTTTTATTTTGGATGCGATTAATCGCGATTAATCGTTTGACAGCACTAATATATAATTATAATACATAATAAAACATGCATAGTTTTGTGTCCTCTCTGACCTAAATGTATGAATTGGCCACCAGGTGGTGATGTATGGCCTTTTGCTGATAGCTGATATTTTCCAGGAGAGGTCAAAGGTCACGTCTCTTTCTGTTCTCCAGGGTGAACTGCTACAACGCCTTGCATGCTCAAGCTCCGTTCGGAGGCTTCAAGATGTCAGGAAACGGCCGAGAGCTGTGAGTGCCGCTGTCTTTACCTCCACTCATTGCAGTCTCATCATGTGAACATGCATTTCTATTAATCGTTTGGTTTCCCTGAGATCTACTTTTAGTGTTAGTAGAGATCTGTGCACCGTAGCTTTTGATTTTCACGACCATCTTCCACCCTCTTGATCTGATCCTACAATTAAACAGTTTGATATAGTGAGAATACGGAGCTCAAACTCGAGGAAAACACCTGTTTTATTCAGAGGCCAAAACGGAGCAAAAATATGCAATTTGGTGCATATGCTGATATTTATATGAACAAAAAGTAAGTAATGTAAATCAAGGAGATCTTTATAACAGTATAGCAGGCTACTGACATAAAATGATATAAATATCAGTTGTTACGCTGTATCTCTCAATATTAAGTCTCAGTAAGATGATATTTAAATGCTTAGTGATCAAAGCTCTGTAGTTTCAGAACATATAATGCAATGCAATAAAGTGATGACTGAGAGACGAACAAATAAACCTTCCTCAAAAGCCTGATGATCAAATCTGATGTATGGATAATCAAGTAAACCTAAGTTGTTTCAGTCCAGTTAATGTTCATCTTGAAATATTACTAACAATATGAAAGTTAATCTTACACTCTAAAATTGCTGGGTTAAATACAACCCAGTGCTGGGTAAAATAGGGATAAACCCAGCAATTGGGTGTCCCTATTTTACCCAGCACTTGGTTGTATTTAACCCAGCATTTTTAGAGTGTACATTTACTTTATGAAAAATCAGTAAAGATTTTACAGTACTAAAAATATAATTGTTTTACTTGCTAAAAATGTATAAACAGACGACAGAAGGCATGCAGATTGTGTTCAACAGGTCTTTCAGCAAAGTCATGATCGTGTTGATAATTTAATTTGCTTATCAAATATGATACAGTACACTCTAAAAAATGCTGGGTTAAATACAACCCAGTGCTGGGTAAAATAGGGACAAACCCAGAAATTGGGCTGTTTTGACCCAGCGGTTGGGTTACTACCCAGAAGGTTGGGTTAAACATTTAAC